AATCACCTACCAACCTTTCCCTGTAGATCAGGTATGTGGTGCCTGTTCTACTGCTATTCTCCCAGTGCTATTTGGGGATCCCCACAGCTGTTCTAAACTAAAGCAAACACTAAAGGAGATCTAATCATATATCTCCCAGCATCTCAACTAGTTATTCTACTGAAATCAGGGGGGCTATACATAGGATATACATTTGGCTATGCCCTGTTTCTTTTTCTTTTAAGGGAGTAAACCACTGGATTTTATTATTTTAGCACTTTAATTCTGAAAAGTTATGCAGCATATGCAAAGGTAACTTTGATTCAATAAAGCAACTGACTTCACCAACTTGGTGCTCTCCTGATGTTTTAGACTACAACACCCATCAGTCCCAGCCTGGGGCCGGTGGGAATTGTAGTCCAAAGCACCTGGAGGGCACCAAGTTGATGAAGGCTGTGATAAATCCACTAGTGCTAACAAAGAGTACTATGCGTGTGTGTGCTTTCCAGGCACTTGTTATGATCACTAAACAGTCTTAAAAGTTCACAAAACATGTCAAGAAGTTGGCTCAAATGTTCCCGTTTCCCACATCATAAATAGATTTTCACTTCGGGTTACATATATAGGGAAACTGGAATTGGAGTCTATCTGACTATTAATGTAACGTATTATTTCCCCCCACCTGATTGGGAGGACCAGTCAAAATTGTCGGTCACTTCTAAAGCTGATTTCAGGGGCAGTTGGGCTGTGCCTCAAATGGAAGACTTTGGTTTTGCAGATGAACTTTATTTACTATACGTTCAAAATCCCACGTTTCGATACGAACAGCATCGTTCTGTGCTGCCGGGGAGTAGGAGCCTAAAAGAGTTTCTTATCCTCTTCCTCTGGCAGCCCGACCCACTCCTTGAACTCGGGTAGTGACAACGACCTGCAGGAGGCAGCGGACTCTGCGTGGCCCAACACAGCCCCACAGAGCAAGCCAAGGGGGGGAGCTGTGGCAAAAGGGGAAGAAGGCGCTGCCAGTGGCCCTAGACCACCAGAAAGAGCCTGTCCCCTAACCCTATAACAACTTTGGTATTCCGCAGGACTGCAGTAAGAGCCTTTTTAGGGGCATGCAGGACACAGGTGGAGGTGCAAACCTCTGAGACACTACAATTATTATAGGGAATATGGTCAGGGCTGTAGCCCTTGGTATTTTATGGCTGTTCACATGAAGAGACTGGTGGTGAATGCTTAAAACAAAAATATAGTTATGGTGTATATAAATGCCATGTCAAGGATTAATAATTATTTGTTCTAAAACTGTTATTAGGTTTAAAACATCATGCAGGAAATAGTATTCACAGAGTCAAATTATATAGTACACATTCTGTCTGCTGTTATGCTTGTAAGAGACCTAAAATTGTGCCAATGTCATGAACTGGAAATGCAGTACTACAGCAAACATATATTTATTAATTCTCTGCACAGCGGCAAGCCTATAAATTAAATCATTCGACAAACTTTTTGCTTATTTCGTAATATTCTCATGCTAACTGAAATAGGGATCAACTCCCCTCATACCACTATTAATAGGAATAAATAATGTATCACTTAAATGCTACATGGTCTTCTGTGACCTCATGTTTCTCAATGAAATCTGGATTTATATCACATTAGTGTAATGTAGCTCTTAGAACTATGCAAGTTAAGCAAAATATTACTCTTGATGTAATACTTTAGTGAACACAGTGGTCCTTTATCACGACTTTTGCATTCACTTTAAATGGAACTTAGGTTCACCCAGGTAATATTTTCCCAGAATTAAGCACAGGAAAGATATCAGATGTTTATAAGCTGATGAGCACAAGAATTAGGGTTTCATTGAGGAAGGAAGGTACTTTTTAATTGAAGGTACTTCACAAAATGAAGACTAGGACATAAAAATATATTAAAACCAGTTACGTTAGCCAAGGATCTTTGTCAAAATTCTTAGCATTTGTTTGAAAGCTCAATAAACTCAGACTAGCGTTCTTCAGTTCTCTGCCACTGGTGCCAAAGTGTACATTTTGGAGGTAAGCCAGACCTGTGTTGTATTCCCTTCACAAGCCAAAAAAGAAAAAGATGGAGGAAGAGGAGAAAGAAGAAAGAAAGAGTACTATCAATCTTAATCTTGAATCTCTGCCACCTAAACCTGGAGCTGCTGCCTGGAAAAAAGCCAGCTTCCTACTATGTCCCATCAGATATTAACACATAAAACCGTCTAACACTACAATTGTGGGAAACTGTGAGATACTGCAACGCTGGGGGGGGGGGAGTGGAAGTTGAGGGCCTCAGCCCTTATTCCATCCCCTTGTCTGTGTTAAGAAGAGATACACTCTTGACAAAGATGCAGAGCCCTATACAATAATAAAAATGTTTAACCAAATGATGAAAGCGAGACATCCAGATACATAAACAATGATGATAAAATGTGACCCGAATAATGACATCAACTTTTCTAAACACTGGGAAAGTGTTACGGAAGACAACAGCGCCGTGGGGAACTTTCTCTTCTACAGACAAGAAAATTGAATGTCCTAATTTTGTTTAATTAAATATACAAAATCACACTACAAATTACAGGCATGACATGGTCTAAACATTCCCATGTGTCTCTTGATACACTTCTATTGCCTTTTATAGCCAAAGCCTCGTCCCTTTCTCCTCCTACATCTCCCCTTAATTAGAGGTACATATAATCTGAATGCAAAGTACAACTCTATAGAAGTGCCTTCTGTACACGGATATTTAGTGCCGCCCCCCTCAAGCATTGTCACTCAAATCAATGGAACTGTTTCTGATTAAGGCTGCAATCCTGTGACATTTACCTGGGATTGAGTACTATAATCTCAATGGGTCTTGTTTCTGAGTAGACATGTATAGGACTGGCCTGTTAGTGGTTTAAAGAGGATTATTTACAGCTATTCACTCCAGCTGCATCAAATACATGCAAACGAGGAACTTGATCTTTTGCTCTCCTGGTACTGTTAAAAGAAGGAACCATCAGCCAAAATTCAACTGTTTCAAGTCCCATTGATACAAATATAAGATTTAAGTGCTAAATATCCGTTGAAATCATTGAGATTTCACAGTGTTTATATTAATTTAAGAAGATCTAATTTTTAGTCACTTTTCTTGCATATTTTTCATCATGAATTGACCTGTTGCAATTTAATTCTATGACAATCTAAAACAATATGGAAATATTATTCTTATTCTAGCAATACCTGAACAGAAGTTTCCTACTATAAATAACCATATAATCATCATTAAGGAGATGCTATTCTTTATTATAAAACTTGTGTCTGTACTTAAAGCACATAGCCTGATTGAACAGCAATCAAGAGTACAAATAGTTTTGTTCTAAGTTTGATGTCTAAATGAATTTAGCAGTAAATAGTGTTGGATAGCCAACTTCCAAAGCAGCCAGATTTTTTAAATCGATCTCTTACTTTTCAAAATACTTGGACATATAAGAATATTAAAATTGTTCAGATGTTACTAGGAAATATCAGCTTTATAATTTTTGAAAACATCACATGTCACTCCCTGCATGAAATAGATTCAGTTGGATGGCAGCTAAACATTCACATGTGAAAAGGAAATTGTCTTATTTTTTCTTCTTTTCATAGAAATAGATATCACTAACAACTTGTATTTAATAGGAAATGACAGTCTATAGTGGGCATTATATAATTCAAATATAATTATGCAGTTGGTCATGTTATATAATTACATTATCTTTTTGTGCATCTACCTGTCTCTCTAAAATGATAGGGCATCTCTTTTGATCAATATTGCATGAACCTCTTGCAAAAACCATTTTGCAGCTTATTGCTGTAGTGAAAATACAGACATCTGAGTATATCTTCACCTTCCTTACAGATTTCAAAAATAACAATAATTTTGGTTGTTGTTTTTTAAAAGGTACATTCTTTTTCCAAACAAGATACTTTTGTAAAATACAAATGCATGTTTCCTGTACAGGCTTCCTAGCCCTTTTTTCAAAAGAGTCACACGTGGAAATAATTAAAAGAGGCTCTTTGAGAAGCAATTGCTGTAGAATCCAAATGTCACATTCTGCTGTGTAGTAGTGCTCCAGCACAGACATATATCAACATCTATCACTCAAGCACACACCCCCGAACACGCTCTGCTCCCTTTTCTGATTAGAGATTACAGTTGCTTGAGTTGTCTTACAGGGTGTCACTGGTTTGAATGACAGATGTCTGGGCTGGAGTGTCACACTTCTTATTTTCATTTTGGATATGAAACCAATATTCCTGAAAGGCTACGTTTTCTTTAGCTATTATCCAGCTGTTTAAAACACAGTTTACCCACAGTATGCCAGAATGTACCATTCAATACATTTCTAGTCCACAAAACGTATTTCATTTCCTTCTTTCATTTAAAATACATAATTCTTTAAGTTTACACTAAATTAAACTCAAATCAGATTTTCCTAAAGTGGAATTATAATGGCTAACCAAAGGTGAGGAAACATGATCTCTTTTTAAAGAGCGACAAAAAAAGGGGGGGCTCCTCTTCTAAATATTTAAGAAAAGTTTACTCTGGACAAGAGAGTGTTCAGAGACAGCGCAAGGAAAATCTGAAAGGCTGCCTGCACCCTCCAGATTTAGCACAGTAATTCGTAATAAAACCAAAGCAACAAACCCAGGTGATTACTTTTTTCTGGACAACATGGTAGCACAAGAATGAAACATCCAAGAGACAAAAGGTAGCAAGAGCAGCCTGGTGGGCGTCCCACAGATGCCTATGGGGCTGTTTGAGAACTGCCCCAGAGCGTGCAGCTTGCAGGTGGCAGCTGTGCAAGATCAAACTTTTGCCAGCCACCAAGCTGGGCAGGGAGACAACATGGGCAAAGTGGCTCCGCAGAAAGTGGTCCCCATCTCCTCTCGCCTCCCATCTCTCGCCTCCTGTGACACCAGACAGTGCGGAGGCAAGAGCCACCCAAAGATGCAAGACCTAGGCAGACTTACCGAAGAGCTTGCTGGGAGGGTCCTCGTTGTCATTTGATTCCACAGGCGCAAGCAGGGACTCATTCAGCTCGTTGTCTGAAGCAGCTGCCTTGTCCTCACCTCTCAACTCTGCATTCATTTCACTCCGCAGTGACAGCAAGGGCTTACTGACTTGTCCAGCTATCATTGGATCCTAGGATGTGGGGGGAAAAGAGTGAGGGGGGGAGGGAAGTGGCAGCTTTGGTGCGCGTATTCCTATCTCTCACTCCCTCTCTCCCCTTTTTCTCTCTTGTGCACACACACACACACACACACACACACACACACACTCCTTCTCTTATCTCTGGCTGCTCCTGCTGTTATTGCTGGCTGCAGTCAAGTGAAGAGCTATTACAGATCCAATGAGTTTTCCATTACTCCCCACCCTATTAAAGCTCAACTAGCATGTGAGAGATTCCGGATGCTTTGGAGAGAAAACTTCAGGGGAAGCGACATAAGCAGCGCAGCTTTAATTGTGGGACGTGCTTCTTTGTGTGCATGTTTTTACACCTCGCTCTTTTACTTTAATGCGGTAAGAAAGGGGTGATGGTCCAGCAGCGCTTTTTTCTTTTCTTTTTTTAAGGCTGCGAATGTCCTAGAGCTCTCGCTCTCTCTCTCGCTCTCTCTCAAAAGGAAAAGCTTTCTCACTCCAATAGCAATCAAATCAGAAGCAAAACAGCAACGCTCACAATATTAAAACTGTTTCCACAACACTGCAAAGTAATAATTCAAATGGCACAAGTATTTCATATAATCAAAAAACAATCAAGACAAGACAAGGAAAGGTTTACTTTTGCCTTTGGGTTATTAGGCTCTGAAAGTCCATAATCTCACACTTAAGGAAAAAGATAGATATATATATACAGGCAGGCAGACAAATAAAAGAAACATATACATTCACATTTGAAAAAGACAAAACTAGCAAAGGATACTTACTAAATATTTGCAATCATGCTGGTGTTTGGGACATTATAATTCCATAACGCATCTACGCAATATATATGTATAGTTTTCAATTGTTTCCTGATTATCTGAATCTATTTGATCTTCTCATTCAGAGGAATGCAGGGGGAGGGAGTTCAGTTATGATTTCCAAAACAATCTAGCATTCTTCAGTTTTGCCAATAAACAGCAGAAACTGGGGTGGGGGTGGGGATGGGGAGCCGAAAAGAAACAAGTGACCTTGTTGTGCGATCTCCCAACTATTTATTGCTAAGTTCATGCCTAAATGGTTCTTATGCAGAGAACAGGTGACCAGCGCAGAAATAGGTTGGTTAGCATGTTCCCTCTGCCCCATCCGCACATTGGTCGATGTGGTTGCCTATGGGTTTTTTTAATGTATTCATGTCTGAAAAGTGAATTTGATATGACACATGATAATCTATGAAAATGTTAATCAATACAAATAGTTTAAGCTGTCATCAAATGCACTTCTTTAGTCAATACTCATATCGCCGAAAACAATGTCACTGTCACCAGGGTTTAATTTGCACAGCACTTAAATATTGGACTCTGTGCATCAATGCACTCTTCTTCAAATACTGTAGGTAAACACATTTTCTCCCTATTTAAGGCTGAAGCACTCAGCGCGCATTTAGTTCAAGCCGAACCCTCCCTTTTGAATACCTTGATAGGTCCACTGGAGGGCAAAATTAATACTTAATTGAATCTCACAGTCATCAAAATAATCAATACTTTTTTATTATTTATTCTTTACAGTCTGTTGACTGTTTCAAACCTCAGAGGGAATGGGGTGGGGGGAAGGATTCATGGCTTTGAAACACTGTCATTTAACAAGGTAATTTTCAGTGGGACATTAGGGGTTGTGAAACATATAATAAAACAAAAATGGTGGCTTATAATAGGAAGAAAGAAAAGAATTATATTTCTGCCATCTAACAAAACAGGATAAATAAAAAAAGAAGCAGCAAGTGCAGGGAGAGAGGGAGGAGGGAGGGAGCGAGGGAGGGAGGGAGACTGGCTTTTGAAGGGTTTTATCATATCAAGAGCAGAGCTGAGCTTTCATAATGCTGACATTTCTCATCCTGACAATCCTAAACAAGTGGAAAGGATGAGATCGGAGATATCATCTTTCATCACATTCCCCAGCTTAAGAACCAACATGACAGCTTCTCTCCCCTTTACACTGTTAATTACTAAATAAAATACTACTCTCTGTCAGCATTAGATTATTGCAGATAGGAACCAATAACATTACTCCATTGTTGTTGATGTTGTTGTTCTTGTTTGGCTGCTGGTGTTTTATTTTTTAAAAGTCCAGCGATACCTACCTTGAGCTTTTCAGAAAATAAATTGGGCTGTTTTCATCCTGCCTGGAATGTAATTAAAGCTGCGATCCTGAATCCACTTACATGGGAGTAAGCCACATTGAATTCAATAGGGCTTCCTTCTGAGTAGGCATAGTAAGAATTGCACCGTTAATCAGCGATGCCAATTTGCCTACTAGTATTTGTGATGTACTAATTAGTGTGAATGTGGCAGACATTTTAATGAACTTTGAGGTGTGTAGAGTCAGGCATTCGTTAATTTTTTTTTTCATAATGCATTTTTATAGCATCTACTCAAGTGTACGCTGCTGTCAAACAGTCTGGTTTTCAAATAATTTGCATCTAAGGTGATCTCCAAGGAAAAGACAACATCCATATTCTTACTCTATTTTGCCCTTAAAACAAACCTTGAGGCTAGGTAAAGCTGAGATAGAACAACATACCCAAGCCATCAAAGCCACCTAGATGGAGTGCCCGAACCCAGGTCTCCCTTGCCCAAGGCCAAAAATGCTATCCATCAGAAATATCTGGGTGCTAACCGGATGGAGTCCAGTCTTGGCAGTGCCTTGGAAATGCTGGTTACCCTCCGATCCCTTTGAAACCTTCCATGGACCTGCAGATCTGAGGGCATCTCTCCTGATGGGAAGGGCTTGTTGCAAAACCTTTCAACCAGGAAATGAGAACTAGTTCTCATAAGGAGCAAATATGTTAGTAATATACCACTTTCTGGGCACACAGCAGGCGAGCCCAGAAATCTGGCAGGAATGAAGCTCGTCTAGAAACCACCTCCCCAGGTGCTAGTTTTCAGAGAATATTTTGCGTGGAGGAGGAACTCCGTCATGTGGGTTCCTTGTCCAGACATCACCTCATTTACCGCTTGTGGGAATGAGGCCTCAGAGTGAGGTTTGTTTGTTTGTTTGTTTGTTTGTTTGTTTGTTTGTTTGTTTTTTAAAGCTCTCTCTTGTTTTTATTGTTGCCATCTACAATTTTAACTGTGATTTTTTAAATGGTTTTGGATACCCTGGACAAGGGACAGGGTAGCTTATAAATGCATAAGCAAACAGATTTTTTGTTGACATCTGTCTGGATGAAGTCAAACTGCGTAGTGACCTCTCTGGGGGGGGGGACAAGCCTGGGCAGTGTATATGGAGGTCCTGGGCTGCCCAGACAACAAGACCCCCCCCCCCCCGCCTTGCTGATGTCGTCCAAAGGAAAGCCGAGGACAAATGCAAGAGTTGCTGGAAGGAGGCGTACAAGGAGGCATCCAACCATCTTAAGGCCTCCACTCCAGATTTGTGTAGCATTTACAGTGGTACCTCGGGTTACAGACGCTTCAGGTTACAGACGCTTCAGGTTACAGACTCCGCTAACCCAGAAATAGTACCTCGGGTTAAGAACTTTGCTTCAGGATGAGAACAGAAATTGTGCGGCGGCAGCAGGAGGCCCCATTAGCTAAAGTGGTGCTTCAGGTTAAGAACAGTTTCAGGTTAAGAACGGACCTCCAGAACGAATTAAGTTCTTAACCTGAGGTACCACTGTACTCTTTAGACATTACTTCTCCCGAAGATGTTCCGCAAGGCAGTCGGTACAGATTTTTCCTCGGGGTTTACTCCCAACGCCTTTCTCTCACAAATGAGTACAGTGGTACCTCAGGAGTACCTGTTAAGAACTTAATTCGTTCTGGAGGTCCGTTCTTAACCTGAAACTGTTCTTCACCTGAGGTACCACTTTAGCTAATGGGGCCTCCTGCTGCTGCCGCCACGCAATTTCTGTTCTCATCCTGAAGCAAAGTTCTTAACCCGAGGTACTATTTCTGGGTTTGCGGAGTCTGCAACCTGAAGCGTCTGTAACCTGAAGCATCTGTAACCCGAGGTACTACTGTATAGATACATCCTCAAAAATGGTACCATGTATGTACCTTGTGCTGTTTTCACAGAAGAATTTCCAAGGGAAACTGTGTCAAAATGCATGGAAGCATGTATCCTGCCCCTGATACCAAAGAAGGCAAATCAGATGCGAGGGGACGGCCACACAGGGCAGCTGGGAGGTGAGGAAAGAAGGCCACTAGGGATGGCTAACCTGTGGCCCCCTCAGTGTCACTGGACTACAACTCCCAGCATTCCTCTCAGTTTTGCTGTCTGGGGCTGATAAGAGTTGGAAGCCAACAGCATCTGTAGGGACACAGGTTAGCAACTCCTGCTATGCACACTTACCGTATTTTTCGCTCTATAACACGCACCCGACCATAACACGCACGTAGTTTTTAGAGGAGGAAAATCTGTAGGCATGCCACCCGTAGGCATTCCCTCTATAACACGCACAGACATTTCCCCTTACTTTCTAGGAGGAAAGAAGTGAGTGTTATGGTGCAAAAAAATACGGTACGTGGGAGCAGACTTGCATAGGATTGCGCTATAAGACTGTCTCTGCCAAGTGTCTAAGCAGAACAGTTTCAGGCTGATATATATTTGTAAATACTGAGGTTTTTTTTATAAAAAATTAAACATCCCTATCATAAAACAATTAAAAAGAAAAGCCCCCCAAGTGTTACTATGACTAAACACAAGCTATCAAACAACTTAGTGCTGTCAGTTAGGATGAAATTTATGACAATTACACACAATCAATTTATTATCACACATTATTAGCATGCATTAAATGAACATACGGCTTCTGCCTGACCCCCAGGGCACCCCCAGAGGTACAAGGCTCATTGAAATAAATGAGATTTATGTTAGCACAGTATTTGAAGAGGAGACAATCATTCATTAGGAAGACTGGGAAAGGGCAAGAACCTGTACAGAGACACAGATTTTAAAATAAATAAATAAGCGATCAAGGCTATCAAAGAGCTGAGTTATTTTCC